AAATCAAAAAAATCATAAACCCATAAGTCTATTAACAATTAGTTTCATAACATTTTATATAAAACTATCAATAAACTAATCGGTCAAAATTCTTTTATACTCTCAAGCTTTGCCACATTTGAAATGAGAGTAATAAGGATTTTATTTATATCATCTAGCAAATACTCACGTTAAAAAAATTTCTTTGACCATAGCACAGACTAATTCACCCACAACATCCCATTAATTTTGGAAAAAGCCCGCTTGAAGACCATCAATACCGAAAGCCTTCATAGGCTACATATCAAACAAAGCATCATGAATTTCTTGATCCATCACTCCAGAATCTAACTAAGTTATCATAACTTCCGTTAGCTTTGAGAATAAACCCCTCACGTGATACTTAAAAAGAGATTCTCATAATAAATTAAAAATTTTAACATTTATATCGGCATTTATCTTAATGGGAGTAACTATTAGACAATAAATATCTTAGTAGTCATAGTGGTATTCCCTTTTCCAATCGAATAATTCTGTACACGAGGGAATCATACATTTGATTACAAACACATTAGTGAATCAGATACTCTGATTATAAACACGTAATTTAGGTTACTCTTGAAGCAAACTGAAAATTTTACATTAATTCAATTAGAAAATGATGAAAACTATTAGAAAATTATAAAAATTGACTTCAAAAAAGACTTTAAGTGAAATAAAATAATACATTCCAACTTCCACTAGTAGAACCTAAAACGTATTATTTCAACTTCACTTGAAATTATTTAAGAAGTCAATTTTTATAATTTAAATGAAGTTTTTACCATCTCCTAATTAAATTAAATATACATATTCAAATAAATTTTGAAGAAAAAATTCATTTACATAGCTTCAAAAAAAAAAGGATATAATTCTTTTTAACAGTAAAATGAGGTGGGATGTATTATCTTTCCTCAGTCAATGCAGTTTGACCAAGAAAGATAAATTTTACCAGAAGAATCAATCTCAATCTTCTTCCTTCTTCCTTCGTCGGGTAAACCATCACCTGCTGAGCCTTCAACAATTCGTCAGATTTCCAAACGTGGAGTAAAATATCAAATCAGGTGCTTCTTGATGCCGTGAGTAGCTACCTGTACAAATTTTTCATCTCCAAAATAATTGTATGAAAATGCCTTCAGGCCTTTGTCATAATTTTGCACGTTGCCTCCAAGGGCAGCCGTCTTCGAAAGCCTGCTCCAACACGTCTTCCATTCGCTTGGCTAGTAAAATCTGTCAAGATAAAAATACACTAATAAGAAATTTATTTCAAATTCACTTGACTGGCATGTCTTACATTTACAACTATGGAAGTGTACGTAAATTCCAATATCAGGAGAAGTAGGCAAACATTCAAGATCATATCTCATCCCTGCATATCTTGACAAGAGGATTAGATGCAAATTTGTTATCACAAACCGTGCCCTTCACTCAGAGAAAAAGAAAAGTTAAGCATCCCGTGCGTTAAATTCACTTTGCTAGTCAAGCAGGCAATATCTCAACTTGCATTTCATGTGTGTCAGAAAAAGAAAAGTTAATATCCCAGGCATTAAATTCACTTTGCTAGTCAAGCAGGCAATATCTCAACTCGCATTTCATGTGTGTCATCCATGTTTCCCCAAAACATTGTAAAATAGGATTCCACAATGAAACAAAAGAATTTTTTTTCCACAAACGCCACATGGAATCACTTCCCTGACCAAATTTTACAGAGCTGGACCAAATTAATTGGAAAGACATGCACATCCAAATGAGAATATATATATATATATATATATAGATTTTTGAAATGTGGATCAATTATATAAAAAATATAAGAATTATGTAGTCCAATAATGAAGCAAATTTCGGTTTGCAAACGAACAGGTTAAACTTGAGGAACAACTAGTCCATATAGAAGAAACTTTACCTCCATACTAGAAAGCACAGCTGCTGGTACTTCAACCAAATCCTTCAAATTTCTTTCTGGCAGAATAACTCTCTTGATACCATATCTATGTGCTGCTAATATCTGTTGTTGTAAAGGATTCAAGAATGTAAACTGAGAAACTACCTTCCACGGTCAAATTTAAAAGATCCAATCCATAAGTTTTATTTTGATGCAAGAGGATAAGACATAGAGTCTTAATGCGAGACAAACTAATCATTCTTGTCATTCATAAGTCACAAAATAAAGAAAGACAAGCTCACAAAGAGTGAATGAAGTACCTTATCCTTCACACCACCAACTGGTAGCACAAGACCCCTCAAAGTCATCTCTCCGGTCATTGCTGTATCTGCTCTCACTCTCTTCTGACTGAATAATGAAACTAGAGCTGTTACCAGAGTGACACCAGCAGAAGGCCCATCCTTAGGCACCGCCCCGGCAGGAAAATGTACATGAATATCACGGCCCTCCAGAAGACTCATTTCCTCAGCAGTTGTCAACTTAAAATCTGCTGCATGGGCTCTTACCTATATATAGAAATTAATTAACATTAGTTCACTGAATTTTCACAACTTGAAACAATTGCAGAATGTCTTGCTCCATGAGTATATTATAAAATTGGACACTTTATGGATTATAAATGATATACATGACAGTTTCTGACCATCTCATCCAAAATCAACCTCAATGAAGCATAAATGAAATTTGGGATAAAGGAATTAAAATAAGGAAGACCAAGTGGTTGTTTCTGACATGGGCAAATATCAAGTTTCATTTTGCACAATATTACAGGCATCAAACAACTGAGCACTCAGAACAAGGGATGCTTTATTTCTTTGATGAAAATATTACAGGAGGATTTTTTTTTTTCTTAATTACATACAATAACACACCTTCAAATAAGCACAAAGTTACAGGCATCAAAGATAAGTCTCCAGCAAAGAGAAAAAAATAGTAATCCACTCAAAGTCTCAGACACACTAACACAAGAGCCTCAATGGTATATCAAGGGGAATATTCCTCCTCTATGCATTGGGGAAACTATATCAAATATGAAAGAAATAGCCTTTCTTTCTGCAGTTGTATACATTCAAGTTTATTTCCTTCAGAACAAGACAATATCACCATACTAATATAAAGAGAGATATTTTTGTTACACAAAAGTTATAAAAAAATGTATTAGAGACCTTGAAATAGATGAAGATAATTCCTAGGCATTTCAAATGAACAACTTTTACGAATTTTCAAACTTCTTGGACAAATTATTAAGGAAAATAAACTCTTAAATGGAGTTTATAGTAGCACCAGTAGCCTTATGGCTGTCTACTTCTTGAAATTACAAGTCCAAGGACTTTACCCATGTTAGTGCTATTTGTGCCGATTCCTTGATAACATCGCCAAGTTGCCCGGTTAGATGCAGTTCTCCCTTTCCCGCCATTGCTGTTGCCTCAACAAACTGAACCTCCCCGCCAAAAGTGGTCCAAACAAGTCCCACAGATACCCCAGGAGTTGCTACCCGATCTGCAGCTTCTCTGTCATCAAACCTTGGAGGCTGCATTATTCGGTAAACAAACACTGTCAATCTGTTAACCACGTCTACCAATATGATAATCAAATTCCATAACCTTGCTGGCAATAATGGATAGCTGTAGTTGAAAGCCTTACACTAGGAGCTTCTACCTACGTGAATGAATAGACAAGCCATCCTATGACCCAAATAATTCCAGGTGTCAGACAGTTGACTTCATGTCAATTAAGAAAAAGCTTCCCATACAACTCCTCAACAATGCATGAGACTCTTAGCTCAAGCATTTTGAGTAGAAAAAAGAAAATACTAGATAAAATCTTTTACAAGGACCAAAATTTAAATTTGTCTTCATTAGGAGGAGGAACAAACAACCTTAAACTACTAATTAAGTGCATCTCTACCCACATGAATGAATAGACAAGCCATCCTATGACCCAAATAATTCAGGTGTCAGACAGTTGACTTCATGTCAATTAAGAAAAAGCTTCCCATGCAACTCCTCAACAATGCATGAGACTCTTAGCTCAAGCATTTTGAGTAGAAAAAAGAAAATACTGAATAAAATCTGTTACAAGGACCAAAATTTAAATTTGTCTTCATTAGCAGGAGGAACAAACAACCTTAAGCTACTAATTAAGTGCAACCTCTTTTCATGCTATGTATGGAAAAGAAGTGTGGAGTTCATTTGCCAACCCAGACTTAGTTTAAATAGGAAAATTATAAGTTTGTATTAAAATGATCAAAAAATGAAATTCGTGTGAAATATGGAACGTATATGGAATTTCATGTGAAATTGGAACAATATATTCCAAATTCCATCAAAAAAAAAGAATTTAGAATGCAGTATTTCAATTCCACAGAAATTCCAGAAGAACTCAATTGTTATAATTTAGATACAACTCTTATCATCTTCTAGTTAAAATAAATGTGAATTTCCAAATGAATTCCACATAAATTTTGGATTTGTTCCAAACATAGCCTAGGAGTGTTAACTTTGAAAGTTCACAAACAACCACCAACTTCCAATAACCCCTCCTTCACGGCTCCTCTAAAGAGACTTTTATCAAAAACATGTTTGGATCACCTTATTTTGTAGAGGACTCTTAAGGTAAAGAGCTTATAAGCTCTCTAATAGCATATTAATCCAGCTTTTTTTTTGGTTCTGAAAATAAGTTGTTGTAATGTTTAGGTAACAAGATTCATAAGGTATAGTATTTCACTTATATATTTGGTAAATATATAGCTTATAGGCTGTTAGTTCTCTTGAAATGGCCAAAAAAAATTTCTTTCTAATAAATACAACCATAATGTAATTTTTATCATAAATTCAATTACCTATATTTTTTAAATAGATCAATATAAATTAAAAATAAAATATTAATTTTCAAATCAACTCTTAAGTTTTTATGTTAATATTTAATTATTTAATTCAACTTAATTATTACTTTTAGTAATAATTTGAAATACATATTATTTCAAAACTAAAAATAAATTACTAATTAATTAATAGATAATCTAATCTATTAACTAATAACAATCTACTCTATAGGTGGATGAGTGAATGAGCGATAACAAAATAATAAGATGTGGTGATGTAGAACGTAAGCTAGAATTTTATGAATTATAAAGAGGTAAACTAGTATTTGGTCAAAAACAAAGTTTCTCGAAAACTTATAAGCTCAAAAGAAGTAATTGAGGGTCAACAAGCTTCTAAAAACATTATAGCAAGAGTTTATAAACTGGTAGACTTCTTAAGTTTTTTGGTTATTTATCAAACATATAATAGAAGAGTTATAAACTCTTCTTCACCAAAAATATGTTAAGTCAAAAACTCTCTAAAGAAGAAACTTCCTCACATAGTTCCAGCACAATGCACTTCCCATCAAATAAATCTAATTTGAAAAGTAGCAGAAACAATAAGACAATTCATTGTTGCCCTTGAGCAACACATCACAAGTTTAGAAGAATTCAAGCATGAGAAATCCTAATAAAGCGCCTTTGTAAGAACACTTACCCCCAATATTTTCTCCAGCATGGTCTCATCAACAACAAAAGTCGAGGAAATTTTTAACGTGTTTGATATTTCATGATTACTTGCACCAACTGGAATGACTTCCATTTCCACTTCAGCTCCCTCTGCAAGTCTGCTGTCTAGCAATGGGGAAGCTAGCCCCTGCACATCTTTGCTCAAAGGGACAATTTGTTCTTGCTCCGCAACTCTCACTGCTGCTGCACGAGCCAATGCAGCCAGGTGTCTCTCCAGATTCCGAACACCTGCCTCCCGAGTGTACCTCTGGATAACAAGCTTCACTATAGCCTATGAAAACATATTAACAATGCATATTCAGTACTAGTTAAATATGTTGTGACAATAAATCACCACAGAAACACTGAAATAGAAACGTAACTTGATAGTAGAGTCATCACCAAGTTTCCATTTCTTTTGCTATCAGTGGGTCATTCATTAAAGGCTCATTGTAAAAATAACAGAGGCCAAAAACACAAGTGCATTTATTTGTTCTTGGGTAAATGTGCAAATTGACCAGAGTCTGGAACAAGAATACAACTAAATCATCAAATGGAATTCACCACCAACAAAAAACATCAGAGGTGTGAGCTAACTAACTAATGCATGTCTCATGTGTATCAAATTTTACTAAAGCCAAACTACAGTACTAACCACTGGTTGGGATCACGGACAGATAGCTACAAAGCCTTACTCTGGAAAGATAGTAAACCTATTAAGAAAGAGATCAATTTTATCCCCCATTCTTCTGACTTGTATTAATTGTTAGTAAAACCATGTATAAAGGCAGCACAAGTTGTTGCCCTAGCATACAGCTAACCAATCAACATATTGAAACATTGCTTCTAGTTAGAAATAAAGATTACCCTTTAAAAAAATATTAATCTATGCAACTTGAAGACTTACTACCTCCGGAATTTGAAGGAACTCAGAAGCCAATCCATGCTGATCCAGAACTCTTGGAATCAAATGTTGCATGGCTATCTTGAGCTTCTCTTCAGGTGTATATCCAGGCAACTCAATGACTTCCATCCTGTCCAAGAGTGCAGGAGGGATTGGCTGGACCCGGTTTGCCGTTGCTACAAAAACCACTCTTGAAAGATCAAACGGAACATTCAAATAGCTAAGACCCTCAATTAAGGAATCACTACGAGCATAGTCATCTTCAGGAGATAGGTAATTTAGTTCTAGAAGGTGGTGTTAATACATAACACTAGATAAGTAAATACATGCTACCTCAATTTAGTTCTAGAAGGAGGTGTTAATTCATGACAGTAGATAAGTAAATACATGCTACCTCAACATAAGTAGGCTCTAGCAGTAATCAAATCTAAACTTCCACCATATTTTCCACCACTGATCAAACATAGTTAGCAGACCCATCTAACATATATCAATCAGCTATATGAATAAATATAATAAACTAATTAGGGGAAGAAAATACTTACTAATTGCATATATACATATAACTTACATGAAGATTTATTTACAGATGCAAATGATACTGTCTTCTTAAGCAAATTTGAGTTAATGATGTTGCTTCAGTGCTGTCAATATATAATCAAAATAAGATAATGACAAAGCTCTTAATAGACATGAGATGATATATGACTGTCAAGAAGCTATCTCTGGTAGTCTACTACAGAAGGAAGGGCAGAAAGGGAAATTCACAAACAGGTAAAATAGTATTTTCACTTGTACAGAATTAGGGCTAGGGTTGTTGCTGTTAAAGATAAAAAATGACAGAAAGGGATTCTTACCCACCGGCCGTTCGGCCATTGCAACGACCTGGCAGTTCCCGCCTCCCTTTCCCGCACATTTTCCCTATCACTTGTAGCCTATAAGTAGGTCTCTCCTCTATGAATGAAAGCATCAAAAAACAATCAAGTGACGTCAAGAAATCTCTCTTCTTTCTTTGTTATTTTCTCTCCTTTTTCTCTCAGTCTGAGACCATGAACAAGGCTTCTAACAAGGTGGGCCCCCGGAGCCAGCCGAAATGCATGCTACGATCGTCTCGCGTACTCGATCCAAAAGGAAGGTGGTGATGGTGGAATTTGCGAAGGTGATGGCGGCCGAACCCACCGTCAAGGATGTGGATCAGAGGCTTCCCTATTTTATGGACGATTTCTATGAGTTGAATCATCAATCCCGCTCGTAGATGGACGATGTCTGCAAGATGAATGGTCAGTCCCGCGGCAGCTCAACATGATCATGGAACGGATCCGTGGAACGCAAATGAGAGAGGTGCCAAAGATGTCGGCGATGGGTGCATGCAAGCCGGCTGAAGGAAATGCCCTAAAACTGAGTGTTAAGGTTAAAAGAAGGAATTGATCTAGTTCAAGTGAAAAGGCTCGGACCGGTTCATGGATGACGTGAACCAAACCAGTCCAGTGGAAAGGTTGAACTGAATTGACCCACTGGAATCCCCGAACTGAACCTGTTCATCTGCCACACTAAACTGAACCAGTTCAACCCAAATGTTTTCCCTTCCAAAGGAGGAGATCCCCATGTTTGAAGGAGTAAATCCCCGCTCTTGGATAAGGAGGTGCAAGAAGTATTTTTTCAGTACAATACACTAGATAAGCAGAAAGTTGAAGTCGCATATCTTTCTTATGAGAAATTACAGATGTATGGTGATGGGAATGGTTGGCAAAACAGAAGAAG